AGATCACATGCACCCAGCCTGCTCAGGGAGGCTCAGGGACTCCAGCATAGGTCCTTCCCACTTGGGTCCAGTTGCATTACCACTGTACCACCACCTGGCCCAGTACAAACTTCTCTTAACAGGCAGGAAGATCTTTCATAGCAGCCCCCGGTAGGTTTCCTTTGCACTAGCACGGTCGCAGAACCATCCCCAAATGCCAGAGAGGCTGGGAAAGAGGAGCTGGCATCTCTAACCCTAACGGAGGCAGAGTGGGGCTGCGCTGTCGGGGATAACGGGAAGCCTCAGCACACCTGCGATCCGGAGGGTCCGAGGGCCGTACTCAAAGGTAACTGAGAAACAGGAAGCTCACAAGTCATGAGCTCTGTTAAGGGTGATTTTTTTGGGGGGAGGGGGGTGAGTGGTTATAGTGTAGGGGCTCACCAGAGAGAGACAGAGACAGAGAGAAAGAGGGAAAGTGAGAAATCATCCCCCAAGAGGATGGCCACACCGCAATCTCATCTCCACTCTGCTCCCAGGATTTGGGGCACACACACACACCTGGTGTGATTCTCAAGCCCCCAGGTCCAGAACTCGAAGCACAGAGTCAGTCACTGAATTTCAGCTGCCTTAACCAGCACAACCAGCTGGCCCCAGGCGTGGCATTTTAACCTGGAGAAGTATCTCGACGAGATAGGAGAAAGGCTATTTTCGAGCAAGAAAACCTTCCTGGTCTCACTTGCTGTAGGGTGCCACCTGCCCTTTCAACAGACCAAAGGAGAGGGCTCATAATTCGGTGCGCCTTTTCTGAAAGGCTGACGAGGCTAGCCACTGCTAAAGTCACCTGGAAAACCAAAAACAATGAGGGCCAGGTGGTGGTGCAGGGGTAACACAATTGCACGCATATAGGAAAGGTCCTGGGTTCACGTCCCAGGACCTCCTGAGCATGCCAGGCTCATATGTTCACACCTATGATCCAGGCTAAGACTGGGTCACATCGTGAGGACCCTGTGCCTGCCCTTCCCTCGAAAGACATAAATTTAGAAAGGGAAAATTAAAACAAGAGCAGGCATCTTCTCCCCCAGATTATCCTCGTAGCAGCCTCACTGTGATGGGGGAAAATTAGACAGAATCATGGGAGCAGGGCTGCTCTTTCCAACTTAGAAATATGTCTTAGGCCAGCAGATGGTGTAGCCTTTACGTCGTTGGACCCACACACAGCCGACTACAGTTCGAGTCCTGAACCTAGTGGCTTTAAACTCCTATCAGGCACGTCTGTGTGCGTACCCAAAATCCCAAGAAGAGAATGGAGGAGAAGGGATTGCAGCGTGGCCATCCCCCTTGGGGGGTGATTTCTTACTTTCCCTCTCATTGTCTCTCTCTCTCTCTCTCTCTAGCACATGCCCTAAAGCAAAAACTTTTTTAAAGAGTTATTTTATTTATCTATCCTTCTTCATTTCATTTGACCAGAGAGGGACAGAGAGAGAGAAAGAGAGAGAAGGAAAGTAAGAAAGCAGGTCACCAGGTCTGGGACTCAAACCCCCGTTGGCCATGTGTGAGTCCAGTGTCCTTAACCACCACACCACCTGCTGGTCCTGGCAAAAAACTCTTAAAAAACCAAAAAAGTGAATCCAGGTGTTTCCCTATAACCAACATCCCCACAGCTGCTGCAGTTTGGGCCCAAAGCATCTCTCATCGGGACTACTGGTCTCCTCACCAAGTTTCTCCATGTTGAGAAAAACTGCAGCAAGGGACGGAGAGAACCACAGGAGAACCAGGAGAAAGCTTTCACCAACCTCCAACGGGAAGCCTTAGTTCCACCATCCAAATCCACTAACAAAGAAAGGCGAAATTTTAAAATTCCGAAGCACTTGGTTACTAATCTGATTCTGGTCTGCATGTGGATATTCAATAAATACTTGTTAAATTAAATTGACTCAAGGTTTTATTTATTCAACCTACTTAACGTTTATGTAAAACCCCTTGGAGATTTGTGTCAAACTGTTCTGTTGGAAAATACATGAAAAGTAGTATATTGAATAGCTCAGCTTCCCGGTGGGGGGGGTGGGAAGGGTGGGGGAAAGGGGCTTCAGGAGAGTCAAAGGGAAGGAAGAGGTGAGAGGTAGAGGAAGGCCTGCTGCTGTCATTGCCTAGGTTTGTCCTCATTGCTTTACTCACCAACCAGCTACTGCCCTCTAGTGCCACTGTATAAAATTCTCATCCGAAGTCGGTTTTTCAAAAATAATTATTTTATTTATTTATTTATGTTTAACTTGCTATACTGATTAGAGAGAGACAGAGAGAGAAAAAGAGAAAGTGAGGGAAAGTGAGAAATCAATCAGCCAGGTCCGGGACTTCAACTACAGTTGACCATGTAGGAGTCCAGTGCCCCAACCAACAACCACCTGCCAGTTCCCAGTCTATTTTTTTTGAGAGGTTTTTGCTGTAGGGCGTGTGCGCTCGCCAGACAGACAGAGAGAGACGGAGGGACAGAAAGCGAGAAATCACCCCCCAGGGAGGATGGTCATGCTGCAATCCCTTCTCCTCCATTCTCCTCTTGGGATCTTGGGCACACACACACACACACACATGCGCGCACGCCCGGCGTGAGTTTAAGCCACAGGGTCCGGGACGTGAACCGTGGTCAACTACGTGGGAGTCCAGCGACATAGCCATTATGCTAACTGCTGGTCCATTTTTAATCTTAAAAAACACTGTTGACATCTGAAAAGAACAATTTTTATAAAATAATTTGCTATAGGGTGTTATGTGCTTTCTGGAGAGAGACAGTGGGGGTAGGGGGACAGAGAAAGTGTGAGAAACATCCTCCAGGGGATGGCCATGCTGCAATCCCTTCTCCAGTCCACTCTTGGGATTCTGAGCGCACACATACATGCACCCAGGGCATTTTCTAAGCCGCTGGGCCCGGACTCAAACTGCAGTGGGCCATGTGGGATCCAGCCACTTTAACCAGGTGCCATCTGCTGGTCCAGGTACCAAACATCTTTTCTTTTTTTTGGGAGAGGTCTTTGCTATAGGGCATGTGCACCGCCAGACAGACAGAGAGAGATGGAGAGACAGAAAGCGAAAAATCACCCCCCCAGGGGGGATGGCCACACCACAATCCATTCTCCATTCTCCTCTCGGGATCTTGGGCATGTACACACACGTGTCCGGTGAGAGTTTAAGCCACCAGGTCTGGGACTCAAACTGTGGTTGGCTACATGGGAGTCCAGTGACATAGCCATTACACTAACTGCTGGTCCCACCAAACATCTTTTGCAGATAAAAGATGGAGACGTGGAGAAACTTGGTGAGAAGTCAGAGAGGTGGGGTGTCAAAATGACCAACGCAGCCTCCTGGACTCTGAGTCATGCCACTTGCAACTCGTCTGACAAACTCTTTGTTATGAGTACTTCTCAGATGTTTCAGGAACTAGCCAACAAACATTAACAGCATACAAATCTAAGTGCTATATATTATTTCCAATGTTGTTCCAAAAAAAGCTAAAATTGACTGTTGGTCAGGTTTAGATAAGGCTTTAGAGATAACATTGGTATATTTTAAACTTAGTACAGGTTTAGAAAATGTCTACTTTTTTAAATGGCCAGCGTGCAGGTGCACTCTCCGGAGGGAGAGGGAGAAAGCACACCCTGTGGGGACGGTCATGTCGCAGTCCCTTCTCCTGCAGCTCGGCGTCCGGTCAGGCTTTTGGCCGTGCACACATGTATGCCCATCTTTTCCAAGCTACCAGGGTTGGGATTTGAACAGTGGCAGGCCATGCGGGATCTGGAACCCTTAAATACTGTATTATGGGGCTGGCTCAAATGCATATAATACATTTATTTTTATTTTTAGAGAGAGATTTTTTGCTGTAGAGTGCATGTGATTCCAGTGAGACAGAAAGCAAGAAATCACTTCCCCCCATAGGGGATGGCCACGCTACAATCCCTTCTCCTCCAGTCTCCTCTCAGGATTTTGGACATGTGCACACAGGCACCTGGCATGAATTTTAAGTTGCTGGGTCCAGGACTCGAACCATGCTCAACTACATGAGAATCCAGTAACATTATGCCATCTGCTACATATGTATTATAGTACATATCTTAAAAATAATTATTTATTTCATTTGATTTATCATTATTATTATTATTACATTTGGTACAGAATACATGCACCCACCAGAGAGACAAAGAGAAATGGGGAAAGTGAGAAAGCAAGCCAGCAAGCCCAGGACTCGAACTGCGATCAGTCATGTGCGAGTCCAACACCTTAGCCACCACACCACCTGCTGGCCCTAATACTTCAAAAAAAAAAAAAAAAGAAGTAGAACAGACCCCAAATGGATTTGTCCATTTATCAGAGCTGACTTACACTGTCTCTCTGCAGCTAATGTTCAGCTAGAATTTTCCCAAAGGAGCCTTTTTTGCTCATTGAGGGGAAAATGGGATTTGTCATTTTAACTGGGAACACATATTTTCATCATTTAACCATTTTGCCAATGGGAATAAATGGAAAGTTATCCAGCTGGATGTGTCACTTAGCAGAATATTACTGAGTACCCAAAGATTTATTCACATACTTAATTGGAAGGAAATACATCTGGAATAAGTTTTATTGGAATTCATATAAAAAGAAAAGTGAATCCATTAGAACTAACATCATAAACAAGAGACTTTATCTGCAATCAGAAATATGAATGAATTGGAACCTACGCATCCTAAACTTTTTTCCTTGCATAAAGCTAGTTGAATTTTTCTATTTATATGGTAATTAATTAATTGCCATAGTTAATACATTATTACTTTAGGTAGAGTTATCTTTTCAGCTAATATTTTAGAGACAGCTCAGTCAAATGACCTAATTTGGTTCCTCCTCCGCCCCCACCCCCGCAAAAAAAAAAAAAAAAGCCCAAAGGGATCCGGGGCATTTTTCTGTCTTCAAAATATAACCAATCTGCTAAGATCGGCAACTTGGCAGAAATGTAGTGCATTTGGGCATCTAGTTACGAAATGAACTAGCCAAGTAGTTTCATCCTTAGATGTCAACATAGATCCCATTGATCAAGTAATCGAGTCGTGAGTAACGCTTCCTGCGGAGGGATTCTGAGAGCATCCTGCCCAAGAGGACGAGGCCTATCACCAGGAACAGAACGCCGAAGAGCAGGGTCCCGATGAGAAGCCACTTTTCCAGTGGGAGCACATGCTGGCTTTCTGGAATGCGGCTCAGTGAGGAGCCACCTGCACCAGCCTTCCCAGGGCCCCAGGAAGCAGTTTTATCTGTAGCAGGAGACTCTTCACTCGACAAAGAAAGTGTAGTGGGGCGATGTACAACCCCTGTGCTCCAGCTGTGGCTGGAGATTTCTCTTAGGGGCACCATTTCTGGGGTGCCTTTCAAATCTGTGGGTGTCTGAAAGATGGGAGTCGAAACGGTTGTAGTCACAGCTTGGGGCATAACCACAGCACGTGTAACAGCTGTAGAAACAAGGGCCGGGGTGGGCTGAGAGGTGGCCTTGGTTACACGGGGCACAGAGGTGGGCTGAGAGGTGGCCTTGGTTACACGGGGCACAGAGGTGGGCTGAGAGGTGGCCTTGGTTACACGGGGCACAGAGGTGGGCTGAGAGGTGACCTTGGTCACGGGGCGCGCCGTGGTGGCCACCCGTGGGTGAGAAGTCAGCAGAGGTACCGCGGGAGCACTGGCAGGGGGAAGGGCTGCAGGCTGCAGAGCGGCAGGGACAGTGCCCTGAGATGCAGCAGGTGCTGCAACTGGGAACACAGTCACGGCTTCAGGCAGCAGATGAGCGACTTTTTGTGTTGGGGAAAACTGAGAATTCTCAGAGTGGCTTTTTTCCTTATGAGCAGGGAACGGTGTACTCACTTCCTCAATCTTGAACAGTTTCTCCAAGTTATCCGCGGCTCCAAACTTTGGAGAACTGGCACCTTCCCATAAGGTATCAGCGGGCTTTGAATAACCTGCCCGATGAGGGAGGGCAGAAGTGACTGCTAGTGGAGACAGGCCACGTAAGAGACCATCGTCGTGGGCTAACTCTTGGCGTGGAAAGTCAGTTCTGGTCAAAGATGGAAAATCTGAAAACAAAGAAAATAAAAGGAAGATGTAAAGACTTCCATGTTAACGTAGGTTAAAAAGAGCGAACATTGGCCAGCAGAGGGCGTGGAGGTTAAAGCAGCTGGATCCCACATGGCTGGCTGCATGGTTCGAGTCCTGGACCTGATGGCTTGAAAAAAAGCATCGTGTGTGCGATCATGTCCAAAAATCCCAAGGAGAGAATGGGAGAAAAGGGATTGTGGCATGGTCATCCCTCCTAGGGGGTCATTTCCCATTTTCCCTGTCTCTCCCTGGTGTGTACATGTGCCCTATAGCAAAACTTAAAAACAAACAAACATGGCCAACTATGGTTCAAATCCCAGCACCAGAAGTTTGAAAAACACATTGCACACACATGTATGTATGTGTGTGCCCCAGATCCTGAGGAGGTGGAGAAATGGCAGAAGGGATTGTAGTGCGATCATCTCCGCGGGGGTGCCGCAGAGGTGCTCTCTCCTTCTACCTCTCTCTGGCGAGTGTACATGCTTTCTAACAGCAATGGGAAAAAAACCCAAAAAACCAAGAAACCGATCAACTTGTTCCATGAGTCCCCAAACTGCTGAGACTTGGTATTTCCCTGAAACATGTACACAGTGGGGAAACACAAATGGCTAAATTAGAACCTCACTGCACTGCCTCTCTACGGATGCTATGGTTTATTTCTGGAGGGATGGGACAGGAGAAATGAGAAGGCAGGCAGGTCGGGAAATGAAGGAAGTGGTGGAGTAGCATGCAAGGCGCTAAGAGGAGCTCACAGCAAGGACGGCAGCAGGTTTAGGTCACTGAGGTGGATTAAGGGGCCACAGCAGAGAGCTGGGCAGGGCGAGTGCTGGTGTGTGGCCCAAGCTCTTGTTGGATATGCCCCAGGGCCCGAGACGACTAGTGACCATTAGGCTAGATTTCTTCTCTTTTTTTTTTTTTTAAAGAATTATTTATTGGGGCCAGCAGTTGATGTGGTGCGTAATGCACTGGACTCCCACATGGCCACCTGTGTGTGGTTCAAGTCCCAGACCTGGCGTCTAGCTTTCTCATTCTCTCTCTCTCTCTAGTAAGCACATGTACCTTAGAGCAAATTAAAATAATAAAATTAAATCATTCTTTTTATAATTATAAATAATTCTCCAAGTGATCTGAGGGTCCAAATAATTATAATTTATACAATGTTTATATTTTATAATTTGATAAATAATTATGGAAAGAATGATTTATTTAATGTTATTATATTTCCTTAAAATTTGCTATAGGGCATGGATGCTCACCAGGGAGAGACAGAGAGAGGGAAATGGAAAATAAGAAATCAAGCTGCCAGGTCTGGGACTCAAACTGCAGTTGGTCATGTGGGAGTCCAGTGCCTTAACACACGTCACCTGCTGGCCCAATTATTAGGCCAGATTTCACAGCGAGGACTCAGGGTGGGCAAGAAGGGATATGTAGAAACCGTGGAAAATGAGGTGGTAGAGTCAGGAGAGGAGACAGAATCTTGGAAACAAGCCTGTGACAGGGAGGAGGAAGGCCTGGTTTTCTCTGAGGGCACAGAGCCAGGCAGTAGCAGAAGGCTGATGGCATTTCCTAAAAATTTACTTATTGTTTCTTCCACGAGACAGAGAGACACAGCCTACTCAATAGGGGCTGTCATCCACTGTGAACCCCCAGCCTTAGCCGGGGTCTCGCCCTGCCCAGATCTGGGTTCACACATGCTCCAGGTCCCAGGACACAAACCCGGGACCTTTCCTAGGTGAGTCCAGCTGTGTTATCACAGCAGCACCACCCAGGCCCTGGGCAATGGCATTTTCCAGTTGAGACACGGGATGTACAGTTCCAGCCCAGCACTTGGAAGAGGGAGGCGACTGGGAGATTTAACTGTGACTCTCGACCATTAGAGTTTTAGAGCCAGCCTTAGGTTATAAGAACAATGGGACCAGTATTTGGAATTGCGTGGCCACACTGCAGACAGAAAGAGCAGGAAACCATACAGTCCCACTTCCTCTGAGGAAGAACCAGCCTCAGATCCTGCTATGCGAGAGAGAGCTTCGAATCTCATTTACAGCTCAGGCCAGAGAGGCTTGCTAATGCAGTCGAGCGCAGCACTGGCGCTGAGTCGCTGTGTTACTCAGTTCTGTGGCTAACCATTTTGCAGAGGTTAGACCTGCAGAAAACAGAAGGAAAGACGCAGCGGGCATCTCCAGCACTTACGGTTCTCCCACTCCCATGTAGTCGACCGTGGTTCAACTCCTGGACCTGGTGGCTTATACTCATGCCATGTGCGTGTGCGTGCGTGCCCAAGATCCCAAGGGGAGAATGGAGGAGGGATTGCGGCGTGGCCATCCCCCCTGGGGGGTGATTTCTTGCTTTCTGTCTCTGTCTTTCTGGCGAGTGCACATGCCCTATAGCAAAAACCTCTCCAGAAATAAAAAATAAATAAAAAAAAATAACAAACTGTCACTTATTAGTCCATCTGGCGTATAGAACAGAATCTGATTGCCCAAAGTTCTTTTTCTTTCAACAATGCTAAAGAGCAGTCTGTCTGTCTTTCTTTCTTTCTTTTTCTTAGAGAGATTTTTGCTATAGAGTGTATGTGCTTGCCAGAGAGATGGAGAGAGACAAAGAGACAGAAAGAAAGTGAGAAATCACCCCCCCAGGGGCATGGCCATTCCACAATCCCTTCTCCATTCTCCTCTTGGGATTTCGGGCATGCATGCACACGTGCCTGGCATGAGTTTTAAGCCACCGTGTCCAAGACTCAAACCGTGGTCGACTACATGGGAGTCCAGGGCTGTAACCATTATGCCATTGGCTGGTCCCTAAAGAGCAGACTTTCTACTACAGGCGAGATCACATTCGTGACGTCATCATGGATAAATAGCATGGATATTCATAGGTGGAATCATATATTTAAAAAAAAAAAAAGCAGATTCAACATATTTCATTTTAAAACTTAAAAAAGGCGAAGTAAAAGTTCTGGGATATGTGTGAAATCACAGCTTAAATGAGGCCATCGATAAAGAATGACCAGACTCGCTGGTTTCTTTCTCAAGCATACAGGCTCATAAACACAGCAAAGCTGGGCCGGTCCCACTTCACGGTAGGAGTCACCTTCGGCACAGATCCTAGAGCCGCCCGGGAGTCTGCGCACGGCTCCGTGTACCTCAGCCCTGGTATCTGCCCCGGGCGTGGTGTGCCCTCCCCGTCGCACAGACATGGCCCACAGCGGAACTGGGGACAGTCCTTGCCCTCACTCTTCTTTTGAGTTTCCTTTTCACGCTGCTTCACTGAATTGAAAAATGGGGGATTATCACCTGGAAAACAGCTGAGCAAACAGACTCTCAATTTATTTTATTTCTGAATTCTCCTATTTTTCTAGTCCTTGGTAGAAATGACGTACCCCTAGGCTGCCCTTCCAAAAAGATTAAACTGTCTCAAGCTGCAGTTTAAAAAAAAAATTATTTGCTTTTATTTATCATTATTATTATTTAATTAGCTGAAGGACACACATGCTCACTAGAGAGAGACACAGAGAGATAAGGGAAGTGAGAAAGCAACCACCAGATTTGGGACTTGAACTGTGGTCGGCCATGTGGGAGTTCAGCATCCTAACCACCATGCTACCTGCTGGTCCCTCAAGCTACAGTTTTATAGAAAGAACAGAGTTTACTGTCATCTTTCAAGTTTTCGGAATGTAAATATTAGTCAACTGGCTTTAGAAAATAGAGTGCCAGGCCAGCTGGTAGAATAGTGTTGAGGCAGCTTGCTCTCACATGGCTGACAGCACAGTTCAAGTCCCAGATCCGACAGCTTGTGAAACACACAGGTTGTGTGAAGGAGTGCCCAGAGTCCCAGAAGGAGAACAGAGGAAAGGGGGTTGTGCCTTGGTCATCCCCCAAGGGTGAGTTCTCACTTTCTCTCTGTCTCTCTCCAGCAAGCACGTGCACTCTACAACACAAAGTTTTTTTTTAAAAGAAAGACAGAAGAGTTCCGAGACCAGCAGGTGGCATAATGGTTGTGTTGCTGGACTCCACATAATCAACCATGGTGCAAGCCCCAGACCCGATGGCTTAAAACTCATGCTGGGCACATGCTTGTGTGTGCCCAAGATCCCAAGAGGAGACTGGAGAAGAAAGGATTGCAGTATGGCCATCTCCCCAGGGTGATTTCTCACTTTCTGTCTGTTCTGTTTCTCTGGTGAGTGCACAAACCCTATAGCAAAAATCTCTCTTAAAAAAAGAAAGAAAAAGGGGCCAGCCGGTGGTGTGGTGAAGGGCACTGGACTCCCACATGGTCGACCTTGGTTCAAGTCCCAAATCTGGCAGCTTGCTTTCTTCTTACTCCCCCCCTCCCCCCACGCCCTCACCCTTGTTCTGTCTTCTTACTCCCTTCCCACCCTTGTTCTGTCCTGGTCAAATTTAAATAAATAAATAATAAAGTTAAAGAAATCATTCTTTTTTTTTTTGGAGAGGTTTTTGCTATAGGGCGTGTGCACTCGCCAGACAGACAGACAGAGACAGAGAGACATTAAGTGAGAAATCATCCCCCAGGGGGGATGGTCACGCCGCAATCCCTTCTCCTCCATTCTCCTCTTGGGATCTTGGGCACACACGCACACGGGCCCGGTGTGAGTTTAAGCCACCGGGTCTGGGACGTGAACCGCGGTCGACTACATGGGAGTCCAGCGACATAGCCATTACGCTAACTGCTGGTCCCAAATAAATAATTCTTAAAGAAAAGAAGAGTTCCCCTGGAAACGAATCACTAAACAGGTATCTACATTTAATTTCACTTTAAACAGGAGGCAGGTCGTTCATTTTTAAAGGGGCAATGTAACCCATCAACATGCCTAGATTCCTAAGCAGAGTTACAAACACAGCTTGTCCACATCCTGTAGATGTCAACAGTCCTCAGCACGCTAGGAGGCGGGGTGGTGCCTCTGCCGCAGATAGCCATCAACCTGCTCCGGTCCGATGATGCCCCCTGCTGGCTGCCACAAGAACTGCTTGATTCTAATTTCACTTCATTAGCTTCACACACCCCCTGTAAAAGGTTTATGCATGTGAGAAGTTCCCATTTGTCCTGCTTCCACTGAGGATGGTCTTTACTGCATATTTTCCCATTTTTTTTTAAAAAAAAAAACAAGACATTTGTTTAAAAATTTCTGCCAGAGGGTGCATGTGCTTGCTAGAGAGTGACGGAGAGACAGCAAGAAAATACCCCCACCAGGAATGGACACTGCAATTCCTTCTCCTCCATCTCTTCCCTCCTTCTGAGAGTTGGGCATGCATGCACTTATGCATGGTGTTTTTAAGCCTCTCGTTCTAGGACTCAAATCACAGGGTCAGTCATGGGACTCCAGCTGCTTTAACCACCAGGCCACAAGGTGGCCCCATATTTTCCTTTAAACATGCATGACAAAAGCAAGATTACAGAGCATTAGGAACCTTAGAAAATAAGGTCAAATATAATTTCTGTTACAGTTTCCCAGCAACAGATTATTACACAAATTATCGATGCTCCATGCTTTTGTGTACGAGGATGTTGGACGGATTCCCTAGTTCATGAACAAAACTCAGCACCACCTCACCCAGGGGGCAAAGCAGAGTCAGGGTCCAGGCACTCCGGGCAGTATCGGTCCCCAAAGTACTTTACACCCACTACAGCCCAGAGAGACCTTGGTTTCACTCGACCTCCTAATCCTAAAATTGCTCTTCCCAGATTTCTCTAACTCAGTAAATGGCCCCAACACCGTCTAGACACTCGATTCAGAAGCCAGGACTCAGCCCTGTCACTTGTCTTGTGGTTCCCCATATCCACGTCATTAGCGTGATGCCAACCCTGCCCCGAGAATGGCCCACATGTCGCCCTCCCCCTGCCCACTGGCAGCCATGGCCTCTCATTTGGATCTCGCCCCTGCCCCCAGGACCAGCCTTTCCAGCCCGTCTTTGCTGCTGCATCACTGTCCATTCGCAAGCGAGCAGGCACAGCCAGTGTTGAGAAATCGCCTTTAAAACCCCACACAGGGGCCAGACGGTGGCTCAGCAGTAACACATCATGCTCTGCAAGGCAACCCCACATGGGAAAGTCCTCGGTTCAAGATTGGAGACCTCCCTAACGACACTGGTCATGCCCTTCCTCATGATCAGCTGGCTGGAGGCTGGATTGCATGTCAAGACCTTCTTGGGGATCCCGACTCTCTTACTCTCTCTCTCTCATGGAAGAAATGAATGAATAAGATTAGAAAAATATAAAACCCAGTAACAAATCTGTTTAAAGCTCACAACAGGAGCCAGGAGGTGGCATAGGGTATGGGGCACTGTACTCCAATATGGCTGACCACAGTTCCATTCCCTGACCTGGCACCTTGAAAATCACGCCAAGTGCAAGTGTGTGCTTGCCCCAAATCCCAGGAGAATGGAAGAGAGGGGCTTGTGGCATGGCCATCACCCCTGGAGGGTGATTTCTCACTTTCCCTCTCAGTCTGGCCAGCGCATGTGCCCTATGGCAAAAACATTAAACATACAAACAACTTCTTAAAGTTGGATGCAGTGGCACAGCAGCAATGCAGAGCTCTGTGACTCTGAAGCCATGTCGGAAGGTCCTGGGTTGTGCTAAGGTCTCACTGTGCACGTGCGTATGATCGCGATCCTGGCTGACTGGGGCTGCAGGCAGGATTACGGCATGATGACCTCACTGGGGTTGCCTTTCTCTCTCCTTCTCTATCACCCTCTTTTGTGGAAGAAAGAAAGAAATTTTATAAATATATTACTTCTTGAATGAGTTTCCCTCCAGGTCTAAAGAATAGCATCCAATAATTTTGATTTTAGATAATTATGAAACAACAGGAACTTAATAACAAATACAAGAGATTGTACATATTAACATGGGTCCTAACCCTTTGGAAGTAGTTATCCTGTAGACCTGTGTACTTATTCCAGGGTTGCTGACATTGTTCTAAAGAAGTGCTTCAAAAATGCTGTATAAAAGGTTTCAGGACCATCTGCAGCCTGATAGTTAAGTGCCTGTTCAAGTCCTGGACCTGGCAGCTTGAGAAATAAGCCAGGCGCATGTGGGTGCATGCTCAAAATCCTGAAAGGAGGAAGAGATGGAGGAGAAGGGATTGCAGTGTGACCACTCCTCATGGCAGGGAGTGTATGTGGAGGGGCACTTTCTCACTTTTTCCCTCTCTCTCACTTTTTCTCTCTCTCTCTGAAAAGTACATGTATCCTCTGGCCAAAAATATGTTTTTTAATAAAAAGTCTGTGCAAGCCCAACTATGGTGGCACATTGGTAGCACAACCCTCTGCAATGCTGAAAGCCATGTGGAGGATCAGGATTCAAGTCCTGGGTCCATCCACACACACCAGGCAAGCATGCTGCATTTGTGATCCTGGCTAGCTGGAAATGCTGGAGGGAAAACTGAGGAATGAGCCCCTGGTGAGGGTGCTTGTCTTTCCCTCTCTCGTGGAACAGGTAGGTAAACTTCATAATAAAAAAGTTCTGGGAACCAGCAGTTAGCGTAATGGCTATGTCGCTGGACTCCCACGTAGTCAACCGCGGTTCGCATCCCGGACGCAGTGGCTTAGAACTCACGCCGGGCGCGTGTGCGTGTGTGCCCAAGATCCCGAGAGGAGAATGGAGGAGAAGGGATTGCAGCGTGACCATCCCCCCTGGGGGGTGATTTCTCGCTTTGTCTCTATGTCTCTCTCTGTCTGGCGAGCGCATGCGCCCTACAGTGAAAAAAAATCTCTCCAAAAAAAAAAAAAGTTCTGTGTCTTTCGTCAAATGAAGATATACATGTATACATATAAAATATATATTAAAAGCAAAACAAATATAGTGCCGAAGACTTTGAACTGGAAAGCAAATTTAGGTTTGATAAACTGACTTTCATGATATTTTCTTGTGTATCTCAGTATCTATGACGTTTTTGGTAGTTTTATTTAGACTTTTGTAGGAAATCATTCACAGAAAGCATATCCTGAAATAATTTCAATCGCATAAGAGAAAGAGCAATGCTTGCATTACCTCTACTTATCCTGTAACTCATAAGTCCCTTGGCTGGTTTCAGTGGACAGGCTTCCTCGCTGGGACAGAAAAACAGGTAGCAGTTGGGTTGTCTAGTTGTTTTCCGTGTGTCGAAGATCATCAGGTTACATGCTTTGTCTCCTGCAATGAGAGGTTTCATAAGCATGAGTTTGAAATTGGACTTTCTAAAGAGTTGGGCATGCAGGAAGAACTTCATTTATTCTGCTGTCTAATACAAACAAACACCTTTGTTCATCTTGCTTACTTGCCTGCTGACTGCTGAATTATTTCCCCCTCCTTAGCGTAGCTTTTTAAAGCAACTTAAAATCACATTGAGTTCAGGGCCAGGCATTGAGTCCCACATAACCTACTCTGTGGTTCAAATCCTGGACCTGGAGGCTTGATAAAAACACGCTGTGTGTGTGTGTGTGTGTGTGTGCGTGTGTGTGTGTGTCCAAAGTCTTGAGAGGAGGATAGAAGAGAAGGGACTATGGCTTTGCCATTCCCCCAGGAGGTGATTCCCACCTTCCCTCTCTGTCTCTTTGGCAATTACATATGCTCTATGATAAAACAAACACACACATTAAATTTAAGAATCTGAGTTAAGGTCATTTTTGGCAAATCAGTTTTTAATAGTACATGTAATTCCACAGTAAAAAGCTCAAGGCTCAGTGTGGTCACAAGGGTGGCAGGGTGCTGCTGTGTGAGGCTGGAGGCATGTGGGAATGCCTGGGCCTGGATCCCAGGCTGGCCTGCACTTGCTGGGTGCTCCCAGGATTCTGGTTGGCTGGAAGGCTGGGGGGACTATGGTATGGTGAGACCCTGTCAGGGGAGCCTGCCTCTCTCCCTCTCAGCCTCCCTCCCTTTTCTCTCTAGCTCAAAGGGAAGACAGAATATTTTAAAAAAAGAAAGAAGCCTTTAATTTGCTAAAATATACGTAGAAATACTGATATTGCAATCCATTTTCTCGAGAGATTTTTGCTATAGGATGCATACGCTCTCCAGAGAGACAGAAAGTGAGAAACAGCCCCCAGAGGGGATGGCCACGCTGCCATTCCTTTCCTCCCTTCTCCTCTGTTCTCTCAGGATATTGGGCATGCATGCACACGCACCTGGCATGAGTTTCAAGCTGCCAGGTCTGGGATTTGAACTGCAGTGGGCCACATGGGAGTTCAGTGCCTTAACTACTACAACAACACTATCTGTTGGGCCCTGATGTGATGTTTACACATTCACAGCTGAATCTGGGCTTTAAGAAAAGGCTCTAAATCTACTGATTTCATGTGCGTTTCATATCTTAAAGGTTTCTTAGACAACTAGGAAGCCATGAGTGTGGCATTGCTGGGTGGAATCAGCACACTGATCATCGCAGACATCAGGCCTCCTTCAGCAACAGACTGGAGTGTGTGGGAAACAGCTCCCCTCTCCTTCAGCCAGCAGCGTTCTTCTTTTGGTTTTTCTTTTTTTGGAGAGGTTTTTGCTATAGGGTGTGTGCGTTTGCCAGACACACACAGAGAGAGAGAGAGAGACAGAAAGCAAGAAATCACCCTCCAGGGGGGATGGCCATGCCGCAATCCCTTCTCCTCCATGCTTCTCTCGGGATCTTGGGCACGCACGCACACGCGCCTGGCGTGAGTTTAAGCCACCGGGTCCGGGACTCGAATCACGGTCGACTATGTGGGAGTCCAGCGACATAGCCATTATGCTAACTGCTGGTCCCTCTTTTGGTTTTTCTTAGCATTTCCCCTCTTGCCTTATTATTTTTGCTCTCCTATTTTTCTTCATTCTGTACTTTTCACTATATATATATGTGTGTGTGTATATATATATATATATAT